CTTCTCCCCCTTTACATGAACCCTCAGCCCCTGGAAACCATCATTCTATTCTCCGTTTCTATAAGTTTAGCATTTTTAGATTCCATATATAAGTGATATCATACAGTACTTGTCTTTCTCTATCGGACTTATTTAACTTAACATAATGACCTCAAGGTCCGTCCATGTTGTGGCAAAAAGAAAGACTTCGTTCTCTCTCATAGCTAAAGAATTTTCGATTGTATGCAATGTATCACATCAACTTTATCCACTGATGGACTCAGGTTGTTTCCATATTTTGGCTGTAGTTAACAATGCTGAAATAAACATGAAAGTGCAGATACCTCTCCAAGATCCTGTCTCCATTCCCACTGGATATATACCCAGAAGCAGAATTGCGTAATCATGTGGTAGCTTTATTTTTCTTTTGAAAAACCTACATAGTGTTTTCCATAGTAGCCATATTAATTTACATTTCCCAAAACAGTATACTAGAGTTCTCTTTTCTCCACATCCTAACCAACACTTTTTTTTTTTCTTTTTTTTTGCGGTACGCGGGCCTCTCACCGTTGCAGCCTCTCCCGCTGCGGAGCACAGGCTCTGGACGCGCAGGCTCAGTGGCCATGGCTCACGGGTCCAGCCGCTCTGCGGCATGCGGGATCCTCCCGGACCAGGGCACAAACCCGCGTCCCCTGCATCGGCAGGCGGACCCCCAACCACTGCGCCACCAGGGAAGCCCCCTAACCAACACTTTTTATACTTTGTGTTTTGAGGATAACCATTCTAACAGGAGTGAGGTGACATATCACTGTGGCTTTGATTTGCATTTCTGTGATCTTTAGAAATGTTGAGCACATTTCAATGTAGTTGTTGGTCATATATATGTATTCTTTGGGAAAATTATTCAATGTGTCTGCCCATTTTTAAATTAGACTTTTTTTTTTTTACTGTTAAATGTATGAGTTTTTTTCTTAATTTTTAGTGGAATATAGTTGATTTACAATGTTGTGTTAGTTGCTGTACAGCAAAGCAAATTGGGAGATTGGGTTTGGCATATGAATTCTTTTTATATTTTGGATATTAATATCTTATCAGTTATATGATTTGCTAATATCTTCTCCCATTCTGTCTGTTACCTTCTCTTTTGTTGATTTTTCCTTTTTCTGTGCAGAACTTATTAGCTTGATAAGGTCCCACTTGTTTATTTTTGCTCTTGTTGCCATGCTTTTGGTGTCAATCCAAAAAATCATTGCCAAGACCAATGTCAAGGGGCATTTCTCCTGTCTGTTTCTCTAGGAATGTTTTCAGTTTTTGTTATCATATTTAATTCTTTATCCATTTCATGCTAATTTTGTGAGTGGTGTTGTATAGGGGTTCAGTTTCATTCTTCTACCTGTGGTGATCTGGTTTTCCTACCCCATTTACTGAAGAGATTATCCATTCCCCATTTAGAGTTATTGGATTTTGTGTCAAATATTAGTTGACCTTACTAATGACAGCTTTTTTTTGAACTCTCAATTCTGTTCCATTGGTCTATGTGCATATTTTATGCCAGTGCCATACCGTTTTGATTATTATTCCTTTGTAATATAATTTGAATCAGGAAGTGTAATGCCTCCAGCTCTGTCCTTCTTTCTTGAGATTGCTTTGGCAATTCAGGGTGTTTTGTGGCTCCATACAAATATTAGGATTGTTTTTTCCTATTTTTGTGAAGATGCGTTGGAATTTTTATATGAACTGCATTAAATAGAGAATGCTTTGGTTATTATGGACATTTTAACAATATTCTACTCATCCATGACTTTGTATATCATTATAACTTTTTGTGTCTTCTTCTATTAATTTCAAAAATGTCATAGTTTCCTGTGTACAGAACTTTCCTTTCACCTCCTAGGTAAATTTATTCCTAAGCATTTTATTATTTGTTATGCCATTTTGAATGGGATTATTTTCTTTGCCCCTTTTTTAGGTGTTTTGTTAATAGTGTATAGAAACACAACTTATTTCTTTTATGTTTATTTTTATCCTGAAAATATACTGAATCCACTGATTGTTTCTAACAGTTTCTTTGGTGGAGTCTTTAGAATTTCCTATATATAAGATCATGTCATCTGCAAAGAAACACAATTTTACTTTTTCCTTTCAAATTTGGATGTCGTTTATTTTATTTATTTATCTATTTATTTATTTATTTTTGGCTGATTGCTCTGGCCATGACTTCTCATACTCTGTTGAACAGAACATATTTGTTATTCCTGGTGGAACTTCAGAGGGAAAGTTTTCAATGTTTTATTATTTGCTATTATGTTATCTGTGGGTTTGTCATGGATTGCCTTTATTATGTTGTCATGTTCTTTTTATACCCGGTTTAAGTGTTTTTATCATGAAAAGATGTTGTTTTTCCAAACTTTTTGCATCTATTGAGATGATCACATAATTTTTATTTTTCATTCTCTTAATGTTGTGTATCACATTATTGATTTACTTATGTTGACTCATCCTTGAAGCCCAGGGATAAATCCCATTTGATCATGGTGTATGGTCCCTTTTTTTGCACTGTTTAATTTGGTTTGTTAATGTCTTATTGAAAAATTTTACGTCTATATTCATCAAAGATATTGGTCTGTAATTTTTTACTCACTCAGATTTTGTTTTTCTGGGAAATTATTTATCTCTATTTTTGAAGGACATCATTTTCAGGTAAAATATTTTGGGTCACAGATTTTGTCTTTCAGAACTTTGAATATACGAACCAACTCTGTCCTGGACTGTGAAGTTTCTACTGAGAAATCCAATAATATTCTAATGGGGATTTCTTTGTCTGATATGAGGTGTTTTTTAGACTTTCTCAGAACATTTCTATGGATATGTCTGTTCCACATTGCTTCTTCCCTCTTGAGGGGGATTTCTTTCAATTTTATGTCTCCTTTTGATCCCACAATGCAAGCCACATGTTGAGAATCTTCCATTTATTTTCCCTAGTACTGAGTCCTGAAATGTTAGTTTGTGAGTATTCTTCCAATCCAACAGACATGGGTCTGATTTCTGCACTTGCTAATTCCTGCTGTCCATGGCAGTGCACAGAAGGATACATTTCTGTGGGTCAGGGAGGAGGAGCAGAGTGGTGTGGGTGAGGTACACGAAGCACTGGAGAAACCTGTGGTCACTCAGAGGGGTCTGCAGATGAGGTGTCCAAGGAGATGGTGGGAATCCTGATGGAGTCCACAAATGGTTTAGCAGGAAGAATCACAAAGTGGTTAGTAGCAGTGCTTTGATGAGTTTAAGGCCTGGCAATGATCCCAGCCTCTCGTAGCCCCTACGCTTTTCAGATCACCTCAGTAATCTCGGTAAGGTGAGGAAAAAGTGTACATTCCTTATTGCTGGGGAAACCGGGCACTCACTCATACAATTTCACTTTCCCCTGTGGGAGACATTACATTTCACATGTATCTTTCCTGGCACTAAGCCACAATAATGGGGAAAGGAATGACACAGAAAAATGAAACTATTCTTCTTACCTTCTTCAATGCACACATTTTTGGAATTATTTGCTTCAGTGGTGGAACAAAACTTCTTCACTAGACTTTCTGATTCCCAGAAAGTTATGCTCACCCCTGGGGGAATGCCAAAATCACTGTTCTGTGGGGATGACAGTAGAGATATCCTATTCTGCAGTCTTGCTAATGTCACTACAGAAAAGAAATTCTTACCATGAAAACCTCAAAGGAAGCTGATATCAATGGAGGTGGAACAACATAAGATTAGAAAACAAGTCAGGATCTTGTGGGTCATTTCAGAGAATATAGATTTTAATGTATAGATGAGAGAAAGTTATTAAAGCATTTTACTCAAGTATGATAATTTCTGAAACAGATTTTTTTTGAAAATCAGAAAAGTTTCTCTATGGAGAGTGAGTTGCAGGTATGCAGAAGTTGAAGCAGTGATATCAGAAGGGTACTGCAGTAAGTCAAAGTTAGATATAAAAATGACTAGAGTCAGATAGATGCAGTGAAGACTACAAATGAAAATAGGTTGATTTATAATTTGTGAGTAGAATGTATAGAAATAGTAAGCAATTGAATAATTACACAATTATATTTTTATTAAGGACCAGTTATTCTCATGATAATGTTATTATCATTATATATTCTTATTGATTAATTGCTTGAGGAAAATCAACTTTTTAAACAAAAGGATTATAGATGTATTGTCCTAAATATCATTGAATCCATTTCTACATGGTATAGTGTCTTCCAGTTGTGAAGATCCAAGCAAAAAATGGAATTTTACATTATAAAAAGTATCTTAGAACAGGAAGGCAAGGAAAATAGAATTGGATATGCTGGAAGGAAGGATAAGATTATCAAGTTATGCTCTTCATGACTTCTGCATTCTAAGATATCTCTTCTCGATATAACATTAATCTGATGAGAACCAGAACTTGAACTCCTATCTTCAATAACAGTAAAAAGATATCTTTTTCTTCTTCTCTTAAAGATAGATGTGATTTAGCAGAAAAGGCACTGAATTTAGCTTCAGAACATTTGGATCTAAGTCTCCCTGCCTTAACATCTCAAAGTGTGCATATTCTCTCCTTCTGGCAGTAAGTGATGGCCTCATTCTTATCTGCAATATTTGGCAGAATTATCAGTATGAGAAACACTACAGAGACCATTCTGTTCAAAAGAACATTCAAATAAAACCAGAGAAAAAGATCCAAACAATCTAGTCTTATTTGAATATGCATCAGATGATGATGGATTTTCTTAATATTATTTAGAAATTATTATGGATTTGTGTTTAACTTCACACACCCTTTTTTTGATATCCTCTCAAAGAAGTTTGGTAACTCTCATTCTGAGGTTTGTTTTTTCCTAACTTATTTTATTGACTTTATTGACATTTTTTTTTCCATCAAGGCACTTGCATTTCATTTTACTCCTCAATACAAAGTACACAACTCAAAGTTCAGCCCAACCTACTATAAATTGATTGGGAGGGTCAAGTACAAATCTTTGGATTGTGAGTTTCATGCACTTGGTTTAAGCCCAGATTTAGTTTGAGCAAACTTAATATCATGAAGACTGTGAAAGGCTTCTGTGTCATTTTCATGCTGCATCTATGGTTCTTTGACTCTGGAAGGACTGGGAAGGTACTTGTATGGCCCATGGATTTTAGTCATTGGATTAATCTAAAAGTTATTCTGGAAGAACTCCACCTTCATGGACATGAGATAACCATCCTGGTACCTTCAACAAGTTCTCTGCTTGATCATACCAAGATTCCCTTTAATGTGGAGATACTTCAACTTTCAATAAGTAAAGAAAGTTTCATGGAAGAGTTCAGTGCTGATCTCTATACACTTTCTTTTGAACTGCCGAAACTTTCATGGTGGGACAGGCAAGTGAAAATGACAAAAGTTATAAAAAATTTTTTAGCATCAGCTAAAAGAGTATGTGACAGTGCTGTCACAAACAAGGATTTACTCAGCAGGCTACAGGCAGCTAAATTTGATATCTGTATTGCTGACCCTTTAAGCTTTTGTGGGGAATTGGTGGCTGAACTCCTCAATATTCCGTTTATATACTCTTTTCGGTTTTCCTATGGGAATGTCATTGAGAGATTGTGTGCCAGGCTTCCTATGCCTTCTTCATATGTTCCTGGCATCACATCAAGACTGACAGACAACATGACTTTTATACAGAGGCTGGAGAACTGGTTATTGTATACAATGAGTGATATGATGTCTTCATACTATGCATTTGCAGAATGGGATGAATATTACAGCAAGATTTTAGGTGAGAGAAATTTGCATGTAATAATGATTCATATTTCATATGTAAAATGTGAATATTTATCTGACTGTAGGAAAACTTACAAAAGACTTTTTTTTTAAGTGAGGACCCAAGCTCCTGTTGCTTAACTGTTTTGAGTGAAAACAATAAAAACAGCTCTTTTTCTTTCTTTTTTTAAACTTTTTCTTTTTCTTTTTTTTTTTTAGATCATTGAGTACTGCAAACATATCAGAGAAGGAATATTCTCTATATTTCTCCATAAATTCTGTTTGATGCTACTAATTTTTTTTCCAGAGTATCTGGAAAACCCAAATCTGACGTGTGCTTAAGTTCCATAACCTTAGACTACTTCTCCCTTGTTTACTTCTCCTTTTATACACTTGTTTTCTTTCTGATTAACCTGCTGTCTCTCAGGCTTTCTGTTTGCATCCTATCAAGGCTTGATTGACTGATTCCTGGGCTTGGAAAGTGGTAAGCATGAAACTGGAAAATAAATAAATATATCTTGATTTCATTTGCTCTTGTCTTCAAAAGGAGAAACAAGGAAGATTTTTCTCTAAAGGACCATGTTTCTAGACTTTTAAACTTATCCCATTGTTATCTTGTTATTGTTCTATTCATAATTGCATTAGAGGTCAACTAGAGAGCTTTGACCCTGAGCACAAAGCTTTTCTCAATTTAAGCAAGTCTGTAACCACTTTAATTTTCCTTTTGCATAATTGATTTTTTTATTAAAGAAACTTTTATTTAATTGTGTTAAGGATGATTTTGCATAGTATATTAGTTATCTTAGAGGAAGCAGTATCCTATTTATATTATTTAGATTTTTTGAGATATAATTAATATATAACATTGTATTAGTTTCAGGTGTGGATGAAAAAGTTAATCAATAGTCAATCTAAGAAATGGACAACTTTATTTGAGCCAATGTGGGAATTATAACCCAGGAGACAGTCTTTCAGAAAGCTCTGAGGAATGTTTCACCCATTAGAAGTCAAAGCACAGTTATATGTTTTTGAGACAAAGGGTTTTACATCAAAGGGTTATACATCAGAGTAATGTATTGACAGTTTACATAGGCCAACAAAGCGAGTAATGAGTTACTGTGACCCTTTAGGGGATTAAGGAAGGAATGTTATATCCTAAGAAGTTACCTTGTTGGCACCAGGAGGAAACTGGCTTTTTTGTTTGTTTCATTTTTGTTTTGTTTGTGAGCAGGCATTCCTGTGTCTTCTAAGGAGATCTTGTTAATGTACAATGCAGATGCAAAATGGACACTAAAGGGGAGCAGGGTAGTAGCTCAAATGGCAGAGAAAATTTTACGTTAAATTTTTCTTGTCCTGCCTTAAAATCATTTTGTTTCATCACAGGTGGACAACATAATGATTTTATATTTGTACATATAGTGAAATGATCACCACTATAACTCTAGTTAACATTCATCACCACACATAGTTAAAAGTCTTTTTTATCTTGAGATGAAAACTTTAGATCTATTCTCTTAGCACATTTTAAATATTCAATACAGTATTATTAGCTATAGTCACCATACTGTACATTACATCCCCAGAACTGAAAGTTTATAACTTTCGTCCACATTTACCTATCTATTGTGCCCACCCTCCAACTGTAGGATCTTGCAACAACCAATCTATTCTCTGAAATGTTTGTTTCTCTTTTTTTTCGAAGTTCCACATCTAAATGATATCAAACAGTATTTGTCTTTCTCAGTCTGACTTACTTCATTTACCACAATTTCCTCAAGTTCCATTCTTGTTTATGCAAATGGAAGGTTGTCCCTTTTTCTCATGACTTAATATTACTCCATTGTTTATATAACCATGCTTTCTTTATCCATCACCCATTGAAAAACAGATTGTTTCCATATTATGGCTATTGTAAATAATGATGCAATGGACATGAGAGTATAGTAGGAATTTTATTTTGAGTTTTTTGAGGAACATCCATACTATTTTCCAAAGTACCTGCACCAATTTACATTCCCACCAACAGTGCACAAGTGCTCCCTTTTCTCCACATCCTCACCAGTATTTGTTAACTCTTGTCTTTTCGATGATAGCTACCCTAATAGGTGTGAGGTGATACCTCATTGTGATTTTGATTTGCCTTTCTCTGATGATTAGTGATGCTGAGCACCTTTTTATGTATTTGTTGGCTATTTGAATATCTTCTTTGGAAAGATGTCTACTCAGGTCCTTTGCTCATTTTTTTAAATGAATTATTTGCATTTTTGTTTGTTTGTTTTTTTGCTGTCGAATTCTATGAGTTCCTTAGACATTTTGGGTGGTAATGACAAATCAGATACATGGTTTGCAAATATTTTCTCTCATTTCATAGGTTGCTTTTTCATTTTGTTGATCATTTCTTTTGCTCTTCAGAAGCTTTTTAATTTGAAGTAGTCTTCACTTTTTTATTTTTAATTTTATTGCTTATGCTTTTGGTGTCATATTTTAAAAATTATTGCTAAGACCCATGTCAAGGAGCTTTTCTCCCATGTTTCCTTCTAGGAATTTTATGGGTTTTCAGGTCTTATATTTATGTTTTTAATCCTTTGCAAGTTAATTTTTGTAGCAGAGTAAAATGTGGGTCTACTTTCATTCTTTTGCATGTGAATATCCAATTTTTTCAGTGAAAATTATTTAAAAGACTGTCTTCCTCCACTATTTCTGGCTGCCTTGTGAAATATTAGTTGACCTTATATGCGTGGGCTTATTTCTGGGCTGATCAATGGGTTTGTTTTCATGCCAGTACCATATTGTTTTGATTAATACAGCTTTAAAATATTGCTTGAAATCAGAAAGTGTGATGCCTCCAGGTTTGTTCTTCTTTATCACAAATGCTTTGGCTATTTGGAGTCTTTTGCACTTCCATATGAATTTTAAAAGTGTTTTCTTTGTTACATATTTTAACAGAAATATCTCTAATACCCTATCATTACTAAAAATTAATTTTATTCCTAAAGAATTAAAATTTACCCTTTTGGTTGTGATCTATTATTTTATGTAGCCACTTCCTTTTTTCTTTTTTGGATATCTGTTCAAAATTTCCTCTGAGAAGTTATTTCTTCAACAACTCACAAACAATATGAGTGCTTCTAATGAAGTATGCTGCCCAGGAATATGCCATATATTCAAAAAAGGCATATGACTTAATCAAGGTCGACATGTTGCACTGAGATTTTTCTGGGCACTCTGTGACAGAAACAGGTGCTTATATCTCTAGACTTGACCCTAAAACAAAAAAAAATGTGGACAGAAACTGCTGCACCCATCACTTACCCAAAGTCACAGTCCAAGCTGCAAAAGGCAAAACCAAAAAAAGATAACTTAAAATCTCATCCTAGTGACATTTTCTGAGCCACGGATCAAGCAGTGACTGATCTACAGGTGTATTGAAGTTATTTGTTTACCTCTGGTTCCAGCAATTTTGTACTCAGTTTTGGAAGCTCTTTTATAGTGAGACATAAGTTATAGGACACAACTCTGTCTCTGATTCCTTGCTAGCTCTTGGCACCTTAGAACATTCTTTTGGGGAATATATCAATAATCTGAGAAAGAATAATAAAGTCTTGGTAAATAGAAGAAAAAAATTTCTTTTACTCTCATAAATTTTAAAATGCTATTAGACATAGATTATCATTCAGTATCAATTTAGTATCTCCATTATAAAATGTATTCCAAGTATATTTTTCAAATTTTAAAACTGTAACTCATAACTTATACAATTATAAATTGAATCATGTCATAGATATGTTCAAATAATTGAGGAGAAAACAAGTAAGAAGGTATCTGGTTCAGACAATATTTTGAGGAAATATTAATATAACATTTTGGGAGACAAAGGAATGTTAGGATAATACTATTGGGTTAGACACAAAAATGGTCAATGTCTAATAGGGCAATAAAATCATAATTTAGGGGATGATATTTTCTACCAGACAGAAATATACACACCAACTTTTTAACTTCACAGTGTCTGAACAAAAAAGTCCAAAATAAATCAATAATAAATAACAAAATAAAATGTAGGCACACTTTCCTGAAGATGTAAATAATCCTTTAATCATTCAACAAATGCCCCAGCATTATATCAAATGTGGCATTGCTTTTGGAAATTTGGAAAAGTTTTTCCAAATTTGACATATTTTCTCACAATCTCCTTATTCAGATCAATTACTTTTTTATTTCTCCTACAATATTATCTTCATTTCAATAAGATGCATTAATCACACCAGATTACTAAATCAGTAGTGGAGAATTAACAGGAAAAAGATATCATCTTGATATGAAAGAAAGTGAACCAAACATATGACCTTGCAATTCTACTCCTAGGTTTATAACCAAGAAAAATAAACACATATGTCCACAGAAAACATATACATGAATTCTCAGAGCAGCATTATTCATAGTAGACAAATGTGAAAACAACCCAAAAGTTCATCAACTAATGAATGAATAAACAAAATGACGTATATCCTTACAAAAATATCATTCAACAGCAAAAAGTAATGAAATACTGATACATACTACCACGTGGATGACCCATGAAAAACATTATGCTAAATGAAAGAAGGCAGCAAAAAGGACCACATAGTGTATGATTTCATTTATATTAAGTTAAATAAGGTTTTTCTGGAATAGGCAAATGAAGCAAAAAGTAGATTAGTGGTTGTCATGGGCTGGGAAGAGGGAGAAATGAAGAATGACTGCCAATGGATACAGGATTTCTTTTGCAAGTAATAAAAATTTTTTTTAATTTAATAATGGTGATGGTTTCACAATGTTATAAATGTACTAAAAACTACTCAATAGTTTATTTAAAAAGAAGAATTTTATGGTATATAAATTATACGTCAATAAAACTGTCATTAAGAAAAGCGTGGGAGTAAAGCAACACACAAAGAGAATAAAATTATACCCATGGCTGATACAAATAAGGCTCCAATATGGGGTCTGTACTGGGTCTGAAACTGGATTTTGAATACTTTTGTCATTACCAGACTAAAACCCCTAAATTACTGAGATCTGCTTGTGATCTCTTACATAGATAGATTGTCCTGGTAAGATCAAAACCCTTATATTTTCTGATCAAAACTTTAGCACACTTAGAACATCAAGGAGAATATTCAAAAAGCCATGCAGTGAGAAACCAGATAGCTATGGTTTCCTCCTATCAGTGATATGGAGTACGTATTTCAAAAGGACACCAAAACTCTGGGTAAGGTTCCTTATACCACAGTAATTGAATAGAATTCAAAAATGAAGCTCTGGTTCCCAACTAAGTAAAATGATTTAATTCAGAGTCACTAATCTGAGTTCTTATTCTGTTAATGTTCACTTGGTTTCCACTTCAGTTCAAAGGTAACCCTTTTGTACTGTTTACCTGCTAAATATGTCAAAATAGCAAATATTTCATCACCAAATTATTATGCAGTGCTCTCTCTTCACCAAAGAGGACAAAGTCTTGTAAAACAGGAGCTATAATTATGTACAGCAAAGGAATAATCACTTTTAAATGTTTATGAAAAGATTTCCATTCCTGATAGGATATAATAAGTATGGAATCATAGTCCCAAACACCAGAAGAAAAGATGGATACATTTCAAAAGTTGTTTTTAAAAGATATCAGAGGTTTTGGAGCAATGAGGATGAGATAAATTGGAATTCCAGAAGAGGAGGAGACTCTACCATAGTAGGCTGGGATCACTGGCTGAATTTCTTGTTCATTGCTAGGAGCACATGCTGATTCTGAGCTTGGAGTGGGACTCAGGCTTAGCTCAAGCAGAAAGAGTCTGTTGGCAGAGAGAAAGCAGCAGGCTTTTGCCTTGTTCCATACTTAAATCTGTGTTTGGTTATTCATAATCTCAGTATTGTGTACTCTTGGGGGGCAAAGGCCTATTGATTTCTCATGGGTTGCATAGAACTAATATTGCTTCTTTAAAGATTTTCCTTAGAAAATTCTATCGTAAAACATGTCCCACTTAACATATCAGATTGTTTTCCCTCTATCGTCTTTTATTTTTGTTCAGGAAAACGTACCACATTATGTGAAATTATGGGGAAAGCTGAAATGTGGTTGATTCGAACATACTGGGATTTTGAATTTCCATTCCCTTACTTACCTAATGTTGAATTTGTTGGAGGACTGCACTGCAAGCCTGCAAAGCCCCTACCTAAGGTAATTAAATGTGCTTATTTTTGCTTCTCTGAATATTTACCTCCTGGAATCATTTCTAGTTTATTATTTTTTAGTATTTGACCCTCAAACTGAAAACCCGGACACAGGAATTATCCACCTTAGACTATTACATTACCATTAAGTATTTACTACATTATTGTGGTAATCATTAGTGATGCTTATCAAATATGCCACATATTTGACAACAGTAATGTCCCTAGCCCCTGAGTTTAGTGGAATTGTCCAATACTCTCAGGGCAATGAGAATGAACTGAAGTGACAGGTATCACTTCCAGGTCCAACACAATTATCAGGTGCACTTACTCCAGAGTTCTCTTTGGGCTGTCTTTGGGCTGTGTTCCAGAGTAGCTACTCTGCCAATCTGAGTCCTGGTTAAAGAATATATATAACAGTTGCAGCTCAATGATGGACATATGGCATGAGAAAGAAATAATGTAACAGGGAAGAGCCAAATCTTGACTACATGTTGTATCTGTTTCTTTTACTTTAACCTTTGCTTTCCGCTGCTTTTGTTCACTAAAAGGATACTGTCTATACATAATGGCTTGCCTTGGGGAACCCTACCCCTCTGCCTGAATGTTAAACCAAAGTACCTTTGTTCAGGCAAACATCCAGACCCTGTCCACCTGTAGATGGCTACAAGAAAGAAGAAATTAACACATCCCCTCCCCGAGGCTGGCCGTTCCAGGTGATATTTGCAAAACTTATGGCCTTTTTACTTTACTTCCTCATCTCCCCCACACACACTTTGCTCTATAAAAGAAACTAGCATCCAAACCCCGATAAGATGGTTATTTTGAGACTTTAGCCTGCCATCTTCTCAGTTTGCCGGCTTTCTGAATAAAGTCATATTCCTTGCCTCAGCACCTCGTCTTCAGTTCATTGGGCAGTCCTGCAGTGAGCATAGCGAGCTTGGACTTGGTAACAATAAGGTGTTGTTTTAGGCCACTGAGATTTTGGAGCTGAAAGTTATTTTGCATAACCTAGTCTAAAAGCTGGACATAGTAGGGAAATTATAATAGTCTGAGAAAAGATCAAATAGAGATGGATGGCCCACCCAAAATCCTGGCATAAGTTCAGTAATGGTGACCTGTTTGGTTTGAATAGAGGAGAGAAATTAGCCTGGAGAGATGATCGGAGGATAGGTTATAATAAACAAATGGGCAATACTAAGTATTCTTTACTTCAAATTTAAGGTCAATGAATGATCAATGTATACTTTTTAAGCAGTAACATGATACAACTTACCCTTTCATAAATATTATCTATTGAATTGTTTGGAATGGAGCAAGATTTAAAGGAGGGAAATGAGCTGAGATAGAAGTGCAATAGTTCCTGCAAGCCATTGTAGAGATCCAAACTACAATATGATAACAATTTTGAGTATAAATGGAGAGGTTTAGGAAGTATTTACAAAGAAAGTCAATAAGATTTTCTGATAGGCTAGAGATTAAGGAAGAGAGTTCCAGAATTAATCCTTGGCTTTTTGTTTCTTTGTACATGTCATTTCTTTACATTTCTTTATTTATTTTTTGTACAGGCAATTTAGTAGAGAATATTATCATTTATGAGGAGAAGAAGGAAAGGGGAACAGTTGTGAGGGAAAATGATTTGTTCATATTTGCATATGTTGAATGTGGTACAATGCAGTGTCTAGCAAGCATCTACCAAATACATTGGTTTAATCTCAGGGAACAGATTTATGTAGTATTTATGGTTTTTTAAATTAATAGACTATTTTTAGAGACACATTCACAGCAAAATGGAGCACAAAGTACAGAGAGTTCCACCTATCTCTTGCCCCCTCCCATGCACAGCTTCCCCAACCATCAATATCCCACACTCCTGCAGCACATTTGTTACATTTTATGAACCAACATTCATGTTAATTTCAACCAATGTCCACTGCATACAAAAATGTTAACTCTTTGTGTTGTACGTTCTATATTTTGATAATACATAATGACATGTATCTACCCTTATACTGTCATACAGACTCTCCACTGTCCTAAAAATTCCCTGTGCTCCACTTCTTCATCCTTCCCTGCCCCTAAATCTCTGGAAATCACCATTTTTTTTAACTTTCTCCATAGATTTGCCTTTTCCATAAGCAGTAGTCTCACATTAGTAGTCAAGGAATAAGAACTCATGACTTTTTACTGGCTGCTTTTTGTGAGCATTACATCACCCAGAGTGAAAAACAGAACTTGGGGTGGATCAAAATACTATAAACTAGATGCCCAAGGCTTCTGTGAAGAGGGGTTATTCCTGAAAACCTGACCATTGACATTAGAGAAATAGATGAAAGTATAGAATAAAGACATAAAGACAAGTACACTTTTTTTAAAAATTGAACTTTTAAAAAATATTTTATTATTTTTATTTTTTTTTACTAGGGTATACTTGCTTTACAATGCTGTGTTAGTTTCTACTGTACAGTGAAGTGGAGTTCCCTGTGCTATACATCAAGTTCTCACTAGTTATCTATTTTTTACATATTAGTGTATATATGTCAATCCCAATCTCCCGATTTATCCCACCCCCCTTTCCTCCCTGGTTGTCCATACATTTGTTCTCTACATCTGTGTTCTATTTCTACCATGCAAACAAGTTCATCTGTACCATTTTTCTAGATTCCACATACATGTGTTAATGTGTGATATTTTTCTCTTTCTGATTTAACTTCACTCTGTATGACAATCTCTAGGTCCATGCACATTTCTACAAATGACCCAGTTTCGTTCCTTTTTATGGCTGAGTAATATTCCATTGTCTATATGTACCACATCTTCTTTATCTATTCATCTGTTGATGGGCATTTAGGTTGCTTCCATTACCTGGCTATTGTAAATGGTGCCACAAAGAACATTGGGATACATGTGTCTTTTTGAATTTTGGTTTTCTCTGGGTTTATGCCCAGTAGTGGGATTGCTGGGTCATATGGTAATTCTATTTTTAGCTTTTTAAGGAACCTCCATAGTGTTCTCCATAGTGGTTGTATCAATTTACATTCTCACCAACAGTGCAAGAGGGTTCCCTTTTCTCCACATCCTCTCCAGCATTTATTGTTTGTAGATTTTTTGATGATGGCCATTCTGACTGGTCTGAGGTGATACATCATTGAAATTTTGATTTGCGTTTCTCTAATAATTAGTGATGTTGAGTAGCTTTTCATGTGTTTTTTGGTCATCTGTATATCTTCTTTGGATAAATGTCTATTTAGGTCTTCTGCCCATTTTTGGATTGGGTTGTTTGTTTTTTTGATATTGAGCTGCATGAGCTGTTTGTATATTTTGGAGATTAATCCTTTGTTGATTCATTTACAAATATTTTCTTCCATTCTGAGGGTTGTATTTTTGTCTTTTTATGGTTTCCCTTGCTGTGCAAAAGCTTTTAACTTTCATTAGGTCCCATTTGTTTATTTTTGTTTTTATTTCCATTACTCTAAAAGGTGGGTCAAAAAGATCTTGCTGTGATTTATGTCAAAGAGTGTTCTGCCTATGTTTTCTTCTAAGAGTTTTATGTTGTCCGGTCTTACATTTAGGTCTTTAATCCATTTTGAGTTTATTTTTGTGTATGGTGTAAGGGAGTGTTCTAATTTCATTCTTTTACATGTAGCTGTCCAGTTTTCTCAGCACCAGTTATTGAAGAGGCTGTCTTTTCTCCATTGTATATTCTTGCCTCCTATGTCATAGATTAGTTGACCATAGGTGCGTGGGTTTATCTCTGGGCTTTATATCCTGTTCCATTGATCTATATTTCTGTTTTTGTGCCAGTATCTTTGGAACATGGTCTTTTCTTCTTAAACTTTAGCCCCATCTACTGAAGAAATAGAGGGAGAATCACAGTTAATCATGTATGTGTGTTCTTATAACTCTCAGCACAACAATCCTCTAGTGAATGTGACCCAACTAGGGATCTGCAGTAAGACTCAGACTTTCATCTCTTTCTTGTAAGGAAGACATACGAAAACGTTGGGGAGAGGAGTGAAAAATTTCCCTCGCACTACAACATGATAAAAATGTCAGTTTGATTTTGAATGCCACAACATAAGTTTGTGGAATTACAGAATTTGTTTTTTGTGCATCTCAGGGCAACAGAATGTATTAATCATACTCTCAGTTCATTCCACTCCATAATCAGCCCATGGCAAACATCTCTTTTGATTAATTTTTCTTACATTTTTTCTTTGTCTTCTTCTCTTCCATTACCCCACAACCAGTGGGCACCCAGTCAAATGCATTTAATGTTTATCATCTTATTTCAATTTAAACAGATAACTGTGTATCCTTAAACTATATGTAGAAATGATTTGAGTTGTTTAATTATATAAATGATGTTATGCTATAATTCACATTTTCTCATTCTTATTAGTATATATAATTTTTTTCATATGTATCCAAGTTTCTATTTGTAAATTCATTTCATTCATTCTGACTGTAGCAGAGAATTTTGGTATCAGGAATGCTTAGGGGGTTACAACTTCCACACTTTATCTAGACCTTGATTATTATTCTATTTTCTAATACGGGTCAGTTTCACAGAGGTAAAGGGATATCACACTGATGAATTTTATTTGTAATCTCCATTTATAGCAAAGTTGAACATTGTTTCAGAAACTTATCAATTATCCTTATTTTCCCTTTGTGAAACTCATATATTTAGTATATTTTTGGATAATCTTTTTTTTTCAAGTAATATCAATTCTTTCCATCATTTAGAATATCTAGGTATAAATCCTTGATCTAGCCATTGCAAATATCTTCTCCTATGACTCCATATATTTGTTAATATTTTCTCTAATTACCTTTTTTAAACATAAAGTACCAAATTTGATGTAATCAAATCCATCTTTTTATACATTATGATTTGTACTTTTAAAAATCTCATTTAAAATATTTTTCTCTTTACTAAGGTTAAAAAGACATTCTCCTATATTTTATTTTTAAATGTATAATATTATATTTTAACATGATACATTTAATCCATTCAGATTTTTAAAATTAATACATGATAGGAGGTAAATATTCACCTCCCTTTTTTGTCTGAATAATGAACATATTATTGTACCACCAGTTAATAAACCATCCACTCAGTGTGATATTTTCTCACTGATTATCCCAATGAATTATATCATCTTATCATACAGGAGGCTTTCACATACTCATGGCTCTCTTTCTGGCCTCACTACTTTATTCTATTGTTGACTTTGTTAGCAGGTCAGTAGATTTCATTTTGTATTGTTTATTATTATCGGATTGAAATAGTCTCCAGTACTCCTTTTTCTTTTTCAAAGTTTATTCATTATTTATGAAAATGTATTTTTATATACTTTTTAAAATATTTCCTAGTATCTGAAGAATATGATGATATAATTGAAAATAAATTTGAAGTGATTGATAGCTTTACATATTATATCAATCCATCTATAAATACAGTGTAACAGTTAATTTTATACATCAATTTACCTGGGCCAGGTACCCAGATATTTAGCCAAACATCACTCTGGAAGTTTCTGTGAGGGTATTTTTGGATGACATAAACATTTAAATATGTGGACCTTGAGTAAACAAATTGCCCTCCATTATGTGGCTGAGGCTCATCCAATTAGTTGAAGACCTGAATAGAACAAAAGACTGAACACTCCCAAGCAAAATAAGAATTCTGCCAGTAGACAGCCTTCAGACTTGAACTAGAGCAATGGCTCTTATCTGAGTCTCCAGCCTTATGGCCTATTCTGCAGATTAAACTTTCCAAACTCCATAATCATGTGAGTTAATTCCTTAATATAAATTTCTTCCTTGTCTTTCCACTTTAAGTCTTACACATTTTTATCTTCTCTTATTTGGTTGAATTAGTTTTGTTACTAGTTCAACATAGGATGAAAAGATTTCTTTTTACTTCATTATAATTAGATATGATATTTTTATTTTTAATGGAAAGCCATATATTTCTACTATATTACTGTTAACCTCAGAGTATTCATTATAGTTCTTTCTGCATGTCTTATATGGTCAGGAATTTATATGTCTACCTCATTTCTAAATGTGTTTGTGGAAGCTTATACGAAGAGAAAATATAACCAAAATAAAAGAAAACTGAAATTTAGAAAACAGAAAAAAGTAAATATACCAAAAGTATGTCATTATACTGACTGTGATTCAGCAGAAAAATGAATGATAATCTTATTAGCATCCAAAACTAAATATAAAGTGAAGCACCAGAACTATTTAACTTAAACTAGAAATTTGGCTCTGCCAGCTACTGCTGCGTAGACTTGGACAAATTACTTAACCTTACTGAGATAGCTTTCTCATCTGTAAATGTATACATATCTCTTAAGATTCCCATATATCTAAGTTAAATCATACATGTAAAGAGCTCTGTAATTGGTAGAAGATAACATGTAGTCAATAATTTGTAAACACACACACACACCCCCCTCTATCATGCTGAAGGGAACCTCCATTTAAATCATTTTTAATTTGCTTAATAACCAGTGATTTCAGGTTATATTTTGTACACTGAAATGGTTAACATACGAAAAAACAGAAGTGTTCTAAGAATTCAGGCATATTGAGAAAAGTGTGTGACATTCTTGTAAATATCAACTTTCATATAACAAAGACTATTTCCCTCACAGGAGTTAGAAGAGTTTGTTCAAAGCTCTGGAAAACATGGAGTTGTGGTGTTTACTCTGGGGTCAATGATCAAAAACCTCACAGAAGAAAAGTCTAGTGTGATTGCATCAGCCCTTGCCCAGATTCCTCAGAAGGTCAGATAATCTTACTTTTTCAGTGACAGCTTCTTTAAATTCCATGAAGAGATCCTTAAAAGTGCGCTTAAAAACGTAGGAAAAGTTATTGGTATTGTTAGTGTCAATTTAACTGAACTGTAAAGAAAAAATATTAAATGGTAAAACAGGATATTTGATTCTTATCTTGCTTTAAACCTGACATTACTAACAGGAAAACATATTGCACAATTTTCTTTAAATAATGACCTAAAACTTAATCATTCACTACTGTCAAACAATCAGTCAGCTTTGTGTCTAGGTTTTAAGGCTTCCATGTAATCTAACATTGTTTTTTGGTGTTTATTGAGTTTTTTGGTTTGTTTCTTCATTTTTTAATCTGAGACATATACACAAGTTACAACTACCTTGATGGAGAATAAAGGAATAGATATTCAAAAATACAGCCTTAATTCACTGGATGCCTTAGGACTATATTTCCTTATAATTAATGGATTTGTGCCAGGCCATGGTTGAGCCTGGAATTGACAACTTAGATTCCTGGAATACTCCTAAATAGATACTCTTCATTTTAAACAGCTAAAATCTTTAATAATACAGTACAAGATTTATGCAGTTCACTCCTTGAAGTTCCCCAAAATTATAACTTTTTATTTATACCATTCTAGGTTATAACTGAGTGGCATTGTTTTTAACCACCATGAACACTTTTTTCCCCTACATTTAGTTAAAATAGAAAATTGCATGTAAATTTAAGTTACAAATGCTCACAATAATTATTGTATTCATAACCAAATTACTTTCAATAATTGTTTTGTGGAAGCAGCACCCATCTAAATATTTAATCTAAATTCCATCTTCATAAAAATATTAAACTTTCAATTGCATTAAAATACAATGTTTAGGGGTGAAACCAGGGTAGACTAGGAAGCACTAAGACCTGTCTCTCTACCTAAACAAAATTGTACTAGCAAAAACTGTCTGAAGTAACTATATTGGAACTCTGGACTCTAACTGAGCACTTGCAACTCACAGTGGAAAAACTGAGTGGGAACTGTGGTTAATTTTAGTCAATGTCATCCTTTTAGAATAGCAGCATCTTCAAAGTCTTCATCACTCTGTCCCATGCCAGCCAACATGCCTGCATTCCTGGTGTAATTTGGTGGAACCAGTAGACAATAAGACCTTATCCTCCAAATACTGTGGTTCTGCATTCTAATTGCTGATTACTGCCCATGGTCATTGAGGTATATGCACAGAAGCTGGGCACAGTTGTTTCAACATTCATTAGAAGAAGCAACTTCCAGGTGTTTTAAAGGATAAGCTTTTTTTTTTTTCTTTTTACTTTTTTCTCCATTTGGGAGAATTAGACATTTAAAAAAAACAACCTCACAAATAGTGGAATTTACAAAATTATGTGCATGTCCAGAGAAAAACACTGGCTCATAAAATACCTGAGAAGACCTAAAACTTTAACCTCACCCTGATTTCTAGCAAAGAGAAACACTTCAACAACAGCAACAACAAAATCAACCTCTAACAAGGGGCAAATCTGATTTCTGAAGATAGAACATTATAAAAAGCAAATGTACAATACTCGAAAAATATCACAAGGCATACAAAGATAGATGAAAGTATGGCCCAATCAAAGAAACAAAATAAACTGAGAGAAACCATTCTTGAGGGAGCCTGGATTTTGGAATTACTAGAAAAAGCCTTTAAAACCACATTTTTAAAGATGTACAAAGAACTAAGGGAAGACAATGATAAAGAGAATAAAATGATGGAGGAACAAAAGGAAATATTGATAATGAGAAAGAAATTATTTTTAAAAAGAATCAAAAAGAAATTCCAGAGGTTAAAAATTACAATAACTATAATGAAAAGTTCACCTCAGGGGTTCAAAACCAGACATGAGCAGGCAAAAACATCAGCAAACTTGAAGAAAGGATATTTGAAATTATCGAGTTCAAGGAAGAAAAATGAATGAAGAAAAATGAACAAAGCCTAAGGGACTTGTGGGACACCATCCTGTGAATGAGCATACACATTGTGGGAGTCCCAGAAAGACAGAAATGGGCAGAATGGGCAGAAAGAATATTTAAAGAAATAATGGCTTAACATAGTCCCAATTTAATAAAATACATAAATTTACAAATCCAAGAAGCTTAGTGAACTTCAAGTTGGATAAACTCAAAGACACCTACACCAAGACACATTATATTCAAGTTGGTGAAAAACAAAGATAATGAGTGACTATTGAAAGAAACAAGAGAAAGAATTCATCACCTAAAAGATATCTTCAATAAAGTGATCAGGCAATTTCTCATCAGAAACACTGGAGGCCAAAAGGCAGTGGATTGATAAATTCAAAGTGCTGAAATACAAACTTGTTAACTGAGAGTTTTATATCAGGCAAAATGTCCTTCAATAATGAAGTAGAGACTTCCCTGGTGGTCCAGTATTTAAGACTCCACCCTCCCAATGCAAGGGCCATGGGTTTGATCCGTGGTGGGGAACTAAGATCCCACATGCCACACAGTGTGGCCTTAAAAAAATTTTTTTAAAGAGTAGAAATTAAGACATTCCCAGATAAACAAAAGTTGAGGGACATCATTAACACTAGACTTTCCCTGTAAAAAATGCAAAAGGGAATACTTCTTGTTGAAATGAAAGTTTGCTAAACAGTGACACAAAACCATAAGAAGAAATAAAGATCTACAGTGAGGTAAAATTGCAGTAAAGGCAATAATAAAAACTAATATTATTGTTATTTTTGTTGTAACTCCATTTATTAAAATTTTTTCTTGGGCTTCCCTGGTGGCGCAGTGGTTGAGAGTCCACCTGCCGATGCAGGGGACACAGGTTCATGTCCCGGCCTGGGAAGATCCCACATGCTGCGGAGTGGCTGGACCTGTGAGCCATGGCCGCTGAACCTGTGCATCCGGAGCCTGTGCTCCGCAACAGGAGAGGCCACAACAGTGGGAGGCCTGTGTACCGCAAAAAAAAACAAAAACAAAACAAAAAAAATTTTTCAATGATTAAAATAAAAATTTATAAAAACAATTATTGATCTATGTAATTAGAAACAGTATGTATATGTATGTAATTTATGTCATCAATTATATAAAAAGCTGGATGGATCTATAAAGGAGCACATGTTTTTATGCTATTGCAGTTAACTATCAATAGGTCAAAGAATACGTTACAAAAGTAATATGAAAATGTTTGTTTAACTGAATGAAAACACAAGAGACCAAAGCAAGAGATGCAGAGAAAGCAGAGTTCAGAGAGAAATTTATAGCTGCAAGTACCTACATTGAAAAAGAATAATGATCTAAAATCAATTACCTAATCTTATATTTTAAAGAACTATAAAAAGAGGACAAACTAAACCAAAAGCTAGCAGAAGGAAAGAACTAATAAAGACTAGAACAGAGATAAACAAAACAAAAAACAGAGAAAATCAATAAAACCAAAGGCTGGTTCTCTGAAAAAGTCAGGGAAATTATCAAAACTTTAGCTAGATTCGCAAAGAGGAAAAATCGAGTATATGCAAATAATTAAAATCAGAAATGAACCTAGGGAGATTACTAATGGCTGTACAGAGATTAAAATATTATCAGAGGATATGATGGAGCTGTGTCCAAGATGGAAGAGTAGGAAAACCCCAATCTCACCTCTTCTCACAGGCACACAAAAATAGCTCTGATTTGCAGAGGAACTACTGATGAGAAAAAGAAGATGAGCAGAAAAGATCTTCTACAACTAAAGATATAAAGAAGGAACCACAATGAGCCAGATAGGAGTGATGGAGAAGCAGTATGGTTAAGAGAAAAGAACAAAGAACCAAAATAAGAACAAAATAATGCCATTTGCAGCAACATGGTTGGACCTGGAGATTGGCATACTGAGTGAATTGAGTCAGAGAAAGACAAATATCATATGATATCGTTTACATGTGGAATCTAAAAAAAGGCTTCAAGTTAACTTATCTATTGGCTTGGCCAAAAAGTTCTTTTGGGTTTTTCATACAATGTTATGGAAAAACCCAAAAGAACTTTTTGGCCAACCCAATACAAAACTGAAATAGAGTTACAGATGTAGAAAATAAACTTATGGTTACGGGGGGTAAGAGTGGGGGAGGGATAAATTGGAAGACTGAGACTGACACATATACATTACTATATATAAAATAGATAACTAATAAGGACCTACTGCATAACACATGGAATTCTACTCAATACTCTGTAATGGCCTATATGAAAAAAGAATTTTAAAAAGAATGGATATATGTATACGCATAACAGATTCACTTTGCTGTACACATGAAACTAACACAACATTGTAAGTCAACTATACCCCAATAAAAATTAAAATAAAATAAAACAAAAGTCATCTGTAAAAAAAAAGATTCGTATTTCCAAGTGAGCAAATTAGCAGAGGTTGTTTCCAAGGTGTGAACAGTTTGAGCCAAACATTGGGCTCCCCAGCACACATCTCCTGCACCAGGAAGTCAGGCCTTCAGAACACTGGCTTTGAAGGTGAGTGGGGATTACTTTCAGAAGAGCCAAGGGCTCATAGTAGTCAACACACAACACAGAAGATCCCATGAAGCCCAAATTGGAGCTGCCCTACAGCATGTAGCTCTCATTACTAGAGGAGAGTGCAGTGCTTGGACACATAGGATGTCTCCTGCAAAAGGTCACTTCTCCAATGTCAGGCAATGTAACCAACCTACCAGATATATATAAAAAAAAAATCAGCAAATTAGATGAAATAAGGTGACAGAGGAATATGTTCCAAATGAAGCAACAATATGAAACCCTAAAAAAAGAACTAAGTGAAGTGCACATAACAATCTACTTGATAGAGAGTGCAATGTAATGACTGTAAAGATGTTCAAAGAACTCAGGAGAAGATTAGATGAACAGAGTGAGAAGTTAGAAGTTTTTAACAAAGAGTTAGAAAATATAAAGAAGAATAAAATGGAGATGAATAATAGAAAAAATGAAATGAAA